ACTTCAAGAGCCATATATTTTATGAGGTGGTACTCATTGTGATATATAGAGGACAGCAGGAGCAGAACAGACACACAGCAACAACCAACAACAATCCTGCAAGTGGATCTATTTTGGGGAGAATTGTGTATCATGTAAAGCACTGTGCAATGCTCTCTGTGACAAATATTAAACATTAAATTTCATTCGTAGAGAACAAATATTTTGTTCTCTACGAATAAGAGTATGTAGTATTTGCAGAGACAAACTGAGATTCCTCTTTGACTCTTTTTCCTCTCCAGTGATTGTGAGCAAGACGAAGGTGTGAAACAAAGAGATTAGATTCTGTGGAGAAGCATTGCTGCCTTTCTGCTAAACCAGGATCTCCTTATAGTTTTTCATCATGTTGTTCATCATTTCAAAAGGCTTTCTTATGAGTTTTCTTATATTCTTTATGTTACATTTGACTCTTGCATTGGTCTTTTTAAATTGCTACCTAATGCTGGAAATGGCTCAAAGCTCAGTGGATTTCTTAAATTATTTCTTAAGTTGAAGTTGTTGCAGAACTGTACATGCTTTGCAAATAAACTTAATTAATATTGAACAAATATTTTCCTGCTCTTGTTTGAGCATGCCCACGAGACACACAAAATAACTCATACACTCATATCTTAATCTGCCAGAATGCAACACCCCAGTGCTTTCATGCGATCTCATATCTGTACAATCCAAGAAATCAATAGATTTGGTATTCTTACCCATTAAATGTCACTGTGTCACCCTCACCAGAGGTTTGGTGAGGGGACTTATTTTTTTTATTTTAACCTGTATTTAACCAGGAAGATCCCATTGAGATTAAAAACCTCTTTTTCAAGGGAGACCTTCTACCTTCACTTTCTGCAATAAACACTTCTGGAACTATGTCCTTTGAACCAATGAGACCAGACAAGACAGTTTTTAGCTATAATGCACAGCATCACATCTATTGAAACTAAACACTGCAGGTGAGCACAAATAGAGCACAGCAACCACAGGAACAGTATTTTAGAGTCAAATATGAGGCCATCTGTCAGAAAGTTTATGCTTTATGTATATTTAAGTCTGAATAAAAGAAATGGGATAGCTAATGCGGCTATGAGGGGGGAAATTAGCAATGCATACACAAACCATTTTCCATGTGATGTATTTAGTCTGTGTTAGAAACTGTTGATCTTTGCGTGTGTGTTGGAAGATAAAGACAGTCGACATGATCACATTTCTGCCACACATTTCCTGCAGAGCAGAGTGTGAAACTTATCTGATCATCTGC